AACGTTTGCTGTTTTTGTAACTGACGTGGAAATACTTGGTTTAGGGTGGAAGACGCTCCATTGACGATATAAATTTGTGGCAAATCTTTGAAAGATGAAATTTTCAGTTTTCGCACGTTTGAGTTCCACTGTCCACAGTCGCCTTGTCGATCTTCTCATTGGGGCTGGTTATGTCTTCTTCTGTCAGGGCAACAACGTTGATAAAAGCAGGGTAGGGAGGGGATGTTTTGTCGCAGTCGATTAATGGCAGGGGTGTTACTAAACACGAATCACAGTGATCATGTGCTTTTCTCAAGGAATGGTGACGTTCGCGACTTCTTCGAAATTTGCGATTGCAGCCCCTTGAATACAATGATTTTCTGATCTTTCGATCCCCGATGCCGTACACGAACGGGTTAATGCAGCTGTTTAGGAAAGCAAACCAATAAGAAGCTAGTCCCAGGCCTCGAGCGAATGCGTTTGGGCTTTTCACTTGACGAGCGCTCAAGTACATCATGTACGCGAAGTAAGGTGACCAACAGACAATAAAAACCATGAGCCTCATAAAAACGGTCACGGCTACTTGACTTTGTTGGGACAGCGAACTTTCGCTGTTGATACTCGATAATGACCTCCTCGAAAGGCGAATGTCAAGTCCCCTTGCTTTCAGGAAGACGTTGATGTAACAGAATCCCATGATACATAGCGGCATAAGGAAGGCGAACACAAGAACCACAAATGAGTAACTGGTTTGACCAACATTGGTTGGGATTTGAACTCCACACTGAGTTGACCCTGAGGAATGAAGAAAATCTCGAAACTGTTAGCTGCTTTACAGTTGGTCTTTAAACTTTTACACTAAGCTTGCGTCACTCCATAATCTTGCGAGACTTTCGCACGATAATTAATCGATTAATAAGTAATATAGTAATAAAAATTATCACGTTAATAAGCAATCATACTTGCCACATTTCAGCGGGCTCACGTTGGCTGAAAAAACCTCTCTAAATTAAATCTCGAACAGTAAAGGAAGTTCAATTCTGATGTATGTTATTGAAAAGTAATCAGACTCATGAGTGCATTCGCAATTATCGAACACATAATCATGCACTTCTACTATTACCCCAAACTGCGCTCAAACACAACCAATACTTGTTGCTCATATTTTCAGAAATGATCCATTATGGAAAAAAAAATTACCTACCCGGCCTAAATTCAAATACAATGAAGCCTGTCAGCGGTAAAGCTGCGAGTACAAGTGCTGTTAACCACATCATTGTTACCATGGTAACTGTCATCTTTTTCGTTACGGCAACCGTGATAGGCATGACCTTAAGGGTAGAATAGTAACTCAC